TCTCTCCCCTCTCTCTATCTCTCTCCCTCCTTATATTACTGCTTCAAACTAGTTCAATCACTTCTTCTTCGTTACAATCTTCTCAGACATAGATTATAGATCTACGCAAGGAATGGCAACCCCACCCCCCCAAAAAAACCCCCCCAACAAAAAACAACAACCCCAAACTAAAAACCACTAACATAAAATATATTATCAAACAAACAAGCGAAAGACAGACCAAAGGGATGAGTACCTTAAACAAACTTTAAAGGAAATACAGACCGAATAAAACTTTTCTCAACAGGACACAAAAACAGACACACTATTTCAAGCTACGGCGCAAAGTGCAAATGATACACCTCAGAGTGTGGGTACTAGTAGACTGCGGTGGAAAAAAAACCCTCACATAAAGCTTTATACATTATTCTGAGCAGTGGTAGATCTAGATTCTAGTTGGTCCTCAAAAGAATTGCTTCCTCATGTAACGTTCGAGATTTTTGTTGGCTTTAATATAATAAAAATGCTAGACGTTCTAAAAGAAAACGAAAGAAATAGTCAAAATGTCACTATTGCACTACCTCGGGAAATTCAATGAAAAGCTGGAGGCAAAAGCAGGGAAAAGAACGGAAAGCGGGCACTAGAAAGAAAAAAAAAGTTACTTATTAGGATTTCTGTCTCCTTACCTGGAGCAAGACGCAGCAGAGGAGGATAGATTTTGCTTCCATTATTTTACTCGATCGTTTCCAATGCTCTGTGGTTGTTAGCCCTAATGAATGAATTAGCCAAATCCTTTAAATACGCTCTGCTATGGACCGCCAATCGAAAGGAATACCACAGGGAGTTCTCCCTCTCTTGTTTACGAGCGTATTTATGAGCGCTGAAAGATCGCGGATTAACGTAAGGACTTCTTCTCCTCTCAAAACTTCTTTTTTTGCGGAGTTGTGTTTGGACCCCCCTACTTGTTCTCATTCTCCCCACCCCCACCCACCCATCTCTCTCTCTCTCTCGTTCTCTCTCTCTCAATCTCTCTCAATCTCTCTCTCCACCTCTCTCTCTCTCTTTCTTTCTCAATCTCTCTCTCCCTCTCCCGTTCGTAACCGTGACGAGACGACGCGCTGGCTCGCGAGGGAACCACAAGAGAGGTGGTTGAGCAGGCGACGACAGGCAGGAAAGGAGGCAAGTTGGGGGAGGCGAGAAGTGGACTTCATCATTATCACTGGCTTGGGATATACAAAAACGCATGTTGTAACCCCCCCCCCTCTTTCCCCATTCATATTCATCCCTTCTTTCCTCTTTTCTTCTTCTCAGTCACGTGTTTTTATTCATTTTTTCGCACCACATAATGCTATAATTATGAGTGGCAGGAAAGACCAGCGTGTATGCTGTTGGTGCTTGGGACGGAGGAATATAGAATGAAAAAAAAAACAACAACCAACAACCAAACCCCACGATGTCTTCTACATGTACATTTTAAACTTATTTCTTTGAATATTATTCTGTAGCCTGGTTAGTGTAACGCCTTGTGGTGAAACATTCTCGTAAGCCAGACAGTACAGAAACAGAATAGACATTGAAATGTTGTACATTATTACTGTTCTTTCTGTTATACCCATAGCTACCCCCTTTTAAACTATAGTGTACATCTATGGTTATACCCCTTCTCCATTTCTCACTCTCATAATTGTTCTTTTCTCATTTGGCTTCTTCTTGAGTAGTGTTCACCTGTGTTAATCGCTTGCTCGACCGCAGTCTATTCGTTAAATTGACAGTCTCGAAACATTGTTTCCTGAAACACCTATTTAAAAAATAATCCCCCAACAGGTTAATTGGCGTTTAACAGACTGTCGCCACCAAGCAGTCTCCCCAATAGTCCCCATACAACCGGTCGGCGGAGGAATTATTTAACAGAACCTGCCATTACGACCGTTTGTTTCTCGCCGGTTTTCTACTTGTCTGCTCCCCCCCCCC